ATTTCACGGGTTAAATGCCTTTGCTCTATTCATTTATTTATTTTGAAATTAATAAGGAGGATGGTACTTACATTGTATAAGGAGGAAGGTAAACAAAAAATGTATATTTTATCTGTAAATATTCTACAAATGATATTATTATTATTTCGGATATTGTAAGTTATACTATTTCACATATACCAGGGATTAATTATGATAAATCTGAATCTGAATCTGAATAGTTCGAATAGCAAAAYATCAAATGCGACCAAAATTTATTGAATGCGTATTTGAGAGGAGAGGTGATATTTTGATCAGCAGAAAAACTGACATTTTCGTGAATACTAATAAGTAGATTTACTCTAATTCGACAAAATTTCGTCACAAGTTTCAAGCAGCAGCGACACAAATGAAACGCTTAAACATTTGGAGTATTAAACTCAGTAAAATGAAAAAATCGTGAAAGTAGCGAGCTTGTCGTTTTTCTCTCCTGTCAAACTCCTCTGAATCGGGCAAGGAATCAACTAATGTCATATGAGTAAAACCAAATACCAAACCCTACGTTCAACAGTTAAAAATAATCATACAAATAATCAAAACTCTGTCCGCAGTCTGACCAACACGATGAAACGTTTGGAGTATGTCTGCTGTGTACAATAATTAGAGATTTCAGGATGTTGTATTTTATTAGACTTCTTCCTTATTTAGTGCTCGTACAATGCGAAAGCGGAACCCAACCTTCCCTGGCATGAGGCACGAATGCTGTCTCAGTTTTAAATACTGTAATGAAGTTACTGTAAGGATAAGTCTTGATGTATGTACGTATATCTACAGAACAACAAACATAGAAATTTTACCTGTCGTCTTCTAGTTTGAGTCCATTAGCTTTATTCACTCCACTTGGAGCATAATCCCAATCTCTCACGACTGCAGCAATGTAATACTCGCGCGTATTTTTAGTTGTTGAGGTTTGGTGACAAGCACTGTTTTCTACTGTTAAGAGCAGAATTAAGGCTTGAATTGTCAAAGCAATAGAACCGAACATYCTACAAAGAATTTGCTTAACAAGACCAAACTGATCAAGCTTCAAATTTCTTTCTCGAAAACAAAATAACTTGTCTATCACCAGGTCTATTGACCCTGGGCTGTCCACGGTCGATCGCGCGAGATTGATAGCTAACAGTTGGTGTTTGCCTTAAGGTGGGCGTGATCTTATGTCTACATGGAGCTTTGCCAGCATAGTATTGCTATAAGCCCAGAAACATCTTTTTTACAGTTTGTAGGAAGAATCTAGAATAGTTTTAAGTATATATATGCGTATTGGTTTTTGAGGTTTGTACTTGAAGGTTCTTGTGGTTGTGCAGCTAGAATATTCCACTAATTATTACTAATGTACACGCAGGAAGTTCATACCTCGACTCCAAATATTCATTGTTTTGCTTCCCCGTGACCTTAATAATGTTATTCGTCTGTGTCCCTATTGGCCGACTATTGTCTAGAGTAAGCTGATAGTTACATGCCAGAGGTTACATGCTAATCAGTCCTGCTTGTTCTTTCTTGCTTTGCTTTGCGGCTGGGCGTTCACGTTTAAGACTTTGATACATACTAGACTTCTTTTACTTTAAAGCTGTGGAAGAAAAATGCGGTTGACTCTTGTGATACTTGTCTTCTGCGCAACATTTTCTGCTGGTACTGGTAAGTCAATCAAACACTTTAATATGCAAGCTAATTGTAATCACTTGGTTAGCGAGGAATGGGTGCTGTTGACCCCGGAGTAGTCAATCGATAAAAATCGATATCGATAAAAAGTACTTTTGCTGTCGGTTCACTGATCACTATATAAAACTCCTGGTTTGTGTCAAGCTATGGTTACGAAAGAGTAATTTCCGGTGGTGTAAATCCGTATCAACACGACCCTCGTACGATCATCGATAGAAATTGTTACAAAAATTTAGTGTGAGTTCGATTTTTAACGATTGATCGATACAATCGATATCAATCAAATCAGCGGTATCGATTGTTATCGATTTATCGATTGRCAAAATCGATATCGATTTTTATCGATTGAATACTCCGGGTGTTGACCATGAAACCAGGGAAGAATAAAATAACCRTACTGGCTTGAGGCAAATATGTGTTTCATCTATGAAAACTGCTAGATTTCTTATTTCCGGTCAGCGGTCAGCGGTCAGCATGGCGGCAAGACGTGTATTTTTGAGCTCCGCCATTTTATTACTTCTCTTGGGATTTTCGTTGTCTTTTGAACTTTCTGATCAAATTTCTGATTACCAGAAGTTCGGAGTGTCGTTTATTATTAACCATGGCTTGCTTATCAGTGGAAGGACGGCT